AGTGTCGGCCGTGGCAGGGTCCAGGCCCCTCTGGGGATGGCGAGGTCCCATCGGGGAGCACTCCGCTGGAGCTCCCAGGAGCCCACAGAAGTGGCGACTGCTGCACGGCTCGCAGCCCCCGAGGAACAGCGAGGTCCAGGCGCAGCTCGCAGCCACTCTGGGAGGCGAGGTAAGGGGCAGGGTAGGACGCAGGTAGGAGGCAGGAGGAGGGAGGAAGAGACATTTAGGACGGTGACCACACTGTTTTCAAAAAACGAGAGCCCGACGCATGAGGGTAGGGATTAACAGGAATCATGTTGTACTAGTAGTAATATTGCGAATGATAGCATCGTTACCAATAACATCATCAGTTGCATCGCGCCAATATGCAACACCAATGGGGTATTCGTAAGCATAAGAACGGTATGAATAATGGTAGCGCTTTGGAAACACGACATTACGAATTCCACCGAACAGTAGCAGTACCACCACTGTTTCAATAATTAGAATGTGAATGGGACGAGTAAAATGGAAGCGTAAGAACACTACTCTTCTCTTCAGGCGAATGAGATGACGACTGATCAAAATGCGATGAAGGACGAGGAAACATGTATTCTTCGTCGTCACAGGAGGAGGAGGAGGAGGAGGAGGAGGAGGAGGAGGAGGAGGAGGAGGAGGAGGAGGAGGAGGAGGAGGAGCGAGAGGATGGTGAGGTGGCGAAGGAGGGGCTCAGGAGGAGAAGGAGCAGGAAGATAAGGAGAACAGTGTAAGAGGGGGCTGGGCGAGTCGACACCCACCGTGCGGACGGTGGTGCGGTCCACGGTCGTCGTCGTCGTCGTCGTCGTCGTCGTCGTCGTCGTCGTCGTCGTCGTCGTCGTCGTTATCATTACCATCATCGTCGAGGGCGCCACTGCGCCGCTGCCGCCGCCGCAGGAGGGGTGCTGAGGTGGCCGGGGGGCGCCTCCGCTGAGGTCAAACAGTCTGGGCGTCGAGCTGCACCGGACCGTCGAGTGGCGAGCCCTATCCCCGTCGACTCTTCACCTCCCGCTCCCTGCCCCCCTGGGACTCGCCCGCCCCTCCCTGTGCCGCCGCCGCCCGTGCCGCCGCCGCCGTTGCCGGCGCAGGGCGCCGCCCGCCGTCGCAGACATCCGGCTGCTCCAATTTTTTCGGTGCAGGGGCCCCGGGGGCCCCGGAGGTCCGGACCATCTCCATGGCGCCAAGATTCGGGGCTCAAGAGACGGGGGTCAATGCGGACGGGGGTCAGCCAGAGCGGCGGATCTTGCAGGATCCTGCAGGGCCAGGGTCGCACTGACCCGGGTTTGGGTGCAGGATCCTGCAGGATTTTGCAGGATCTTTCGCACTGACCCGGGTTTGGGTGCAGGATCTTGCAAGATCTTGCAGGATCTTGCAAGGCCTGGCTGACCCGGGTCTGTATTGACCCGGGTCAGAAGAGCCCCGAAACATCGCACAGCGGAGTTCGTTCGGAAAACAATCGGAAGGGCCCGGAGTGTCCTGGACAATCTCGCTCCAGATTTCGAGGTGAATTTCGTGCGGATTTTTGGCCAGGAAGGAAGACCACAAAGAATCCACGTGAAAATCATATTGTTTTTTTCGCTCGCCTTTTCGTGGTTCTGAATTGACAGAAATCCACGCGAAAATCCGCTGCAGCACGCCTGCAAGGTCGGTGCAATGACCACTTCTCAGGGCCGGTTTGTCGTCCTGAGTCGTTTCTTGACGCTCCCGAGGCCCGGCGAGGGCCCCTGGAGGCCGACAACGTCCAAAAGCAGCCCGCTCCCATTCTTTGGGGGAGCGTCGGATCTCTGGGATGCCCGCTGCCGCAGCTAGCTCAGGGCTTCTTCGCAGGCCCCCGCCAATCACCACCCACCAAACCGCCCCAACCCAACCCGAAGGCCTCAATTTGCCCTCCATTTCCAGTGGGGGGGTCGGTCGGGGAACATTGAAAAAACACACATATGGAACCCGCACCCCCCCCAACCCAAAATCCGGGTCAAATTCGGGTCTTCGGGTTGGGTTGGGGTGGTTTGGTAGGTAGTCAGCCAAGGGTCGCGCCGTCCTCGCGCGTCGTGCGGGCCCCCTCCCGCCGCCATGTCGCGCGGCGCGCCCCGCCACGGTGCCGTCCACGGCGGTCCCTCCCTCTTCTTGTCGGCTGCTGCTGCTGTTCCTTCCACCCTCCTCCTCCTCCTCCTCCTCCTCCTCCTCCTCCTCCTCCTCCTCCTCCGCCTCTCCCCACCCCTCCTCCCACCACACCCCTGATCCTCCTCCTCCGCCTCCTCCTTCTCCTCCTCCTTCTCCCTCCTGCCTTCATCCTTTTCTTCCTCTACCCTCCACCCCCCCTTGCCCTTCTCCTTCTCCTTCTCCTTCCTTTTCGCTTCTCCTCCTCCTCCCGTCGCCTTCCTTCCTGCTCCTGCTGATCATCATCCTGTATCCTCCTCCTACTTCCTCTTCAGGGCGATCAGTGCGTATCGGCAGTCCGTACGCATACATATTTGTATATATGCTGTATCATTCAAGTGACACTCTGTACAGTTTGTATACGTATAGCTGGGAAATTCCAACGGTTTTACACTTGTAGGCGACTGTGCTGTTTTACATTTCAGCTCTCACGTGTGTCTTCTTAAGCCTTCTGATGCTGAGCGATGAATGTTGAGCAGTGGCATGGATGGATGGCACGTCGCGATCGTTATTGGATTCTCGCCTGACGGTCCTTGGATGTTTCCAGCCTGGGTCTCGTTTGAACCACCCGCTCCTGTCATGGTGAGTCAGCGCGACGACTGCAAACGTTGTGCGGATGAAGGGGTGGTCGTTTTCGAGTTCGGGCTCTCGCCTGCACTTTCTGCTCGCATGGTGCCGCGGCGGAGGGATCTCCAGCAGCTCCGCACATGGCTGTGACCTTTTTCCTCTCAAGCTTGTGGTCGTGGTCGTTGCCTTCACGCCTCTGCCTGGGCCGCCCCTCGCGCTGTACCGTGGGGGCGCGCATCCAGAAACCATCTGCTCTTCGCCAGGGCACCCTGTTCTTCGCGCTGCGCGCTGCGCGGTGGCTTCCCGCAGCCGCTGAGGAAGCTGCTGCGCTCAGGGTGCTTCGGGCTTCCCCTCGGATGCATCTCGTGCGCGGGTGGTCAGGGCTAGGGGAACTCGGCAGGCACCGATGCCGCTGCCCCCCCTGACCTGTCCCCGGGGCGCGTTCCGACCAGCGTTTCGGGGGCGATGCCAGCGGTGGCGACGAGGGCCTCCCAGGCGGCCCCAAGAAGGGGGAGAGGCGGCCGAAGGGCAGAGGCACGGGTGCCTCTTGCTCCTCAGGGGGCCGGGCTTCCTGCGAGGGCTTGCCGCGGCCAGTCGCTTGGCACCTGGCCAGTCGCTGCGGCGCGTCGCCTCCAGGGGCGCGCCTCGCTCACTCGGCGGAGGGCATGCCGAGGGCGGTGCACGGGGAGCTCGGAGCCGCGAAGGCGAAGCGAAGCTGGGCTTCCAGCTCCCCCCTGCAGTCGGGCCGGGGCAGAAGAGCGAGGTCGGTTCGGGGAGGGCACCCCGGTGCTCCTGGTGCTGGTGTGGGATGTCCTTGTGCATCCTGGGTGGGGGGGCTCCCTTGGATGCTGGGTGCGTTTTGGCCGGCGGAGGGTCTCGCGTTCTCGGGGGATGTTTTGCTGTTCTACAGTGGATGGCTGTGCCAAGAAACACCCCGCTTGCCTCCAGGGTGCCCTGGGTTTCTTGGGTTTCGATGGCTTTGCCATGGAGAGCGTGACGTTCCCACACCAAAAAGTCAGTGGACGTCCTGGGGTCTCAGGGTTGGGTTCCTCGTGGAAGGTCTGCTGCAGTCGAGCTCCTCCTGCAGGCTCGACTGTGCGTGCCTCTCGTCGGCGTTTTTTGTCACCTCCTGCTTCGCCGGGCGGCGCGGGCCTTCGCCCTCCCCCCCCTGGTCTGACCCCCCCCCCATAGTCCAGGTCTTGGGCCCTCCCCCCCCCTTCTCTCTCTCTCCCCCCCCCATACCCTGACCTTCCAGGAGGGCCAAAACATAGCACCAGGACGTCGACTTCCTGAGTCCTGCCGAAGTTTGAGACGATCCAGATAGGTTTTGTAGGTCCGGAGTGCTATTTTCTGGCACTCTGGAAGGTCAGGGCAGTCCAGGTCTTGGCTGCTGTTTGCAGCTGCTTCCTGGTGTCCCGTCAGGACCTTGTCTCCCCCCAGCCTGCGCCGGGCAGGCGGGCAGGCGGTCTGGTCGAGCCACTGCGCTCGGCCCCGGAGCCGGGCGCGACTGCGGCAGGCCTCGAGCAGCGCTGCTGGCGCTCGAGTGAAACACGCACGAAGTCGGCAGACGCAGATCGACGGAGCACCGGTCCAGACCCAGAACCCCCCCTCCCCCACCCTTCGGCCAAGTGCTGAAGACCAGGACGAGAGAACGCCCACCTCTCCGCGCGCACGCGTGCGCTCTGGAGCGCAGCATGTCCGCGGCCGTTCTGCCCCCCGGCTGCTCCTCGTCGAGCTCTTCGGCGTCTGAGCGCCCCTTTCTGAACTCTCGGCCGTCCCCCCCCCCCCCCTCTTTGCTCGCTGGCCAATTCGCTAGTTAGTGCCCCTGTCTAGCTTCTCGCTGGGGCGGAGTTCGCCGCCTCGCCGCCGGCGAAAAAGTCCGCCGCCGTTTTCAGGGCGGCTTTCGCAGGCCTAGAATAGAGGTTGACACCAACACCAATGTTGGCGGTGTTCCTCCACCGAGGGAAGTAGATCCCGATCTCGGTGATGGTGGTACTATTCTGGCCTCCAAGGTGACCGAACTACTACCACCAACACCGAAATCTAGGATCACCTCCCCCCTGTGGAGGCAGCACTCCCCGGCGTGGTGTTGGTGCCCATGTCCAGGCCTCCAAGGCTTTGCCGTCCAGGCAGTCTTATCCTGCGGGTGCCGTCCGGCGTGTTCGCGTGGTGCCAGCGCGCCCTCGTGCAGACGCAGACTCAGGGCGGTCGTTTGGTGTAGGGCCCATCGGCCTCGAGCACAGAGTGCATCAGCGCACCGCGTTTGCCTGCTGCACGTGCGGACCGGACGCGGGCTTCTGCCCGCATGATCTGCTGCCAGTAGGGGACGAGCTCCTCCGCAGCAGGGGCCGCCAGCCAGGCAGGTCCACGCCGGCTTCCTTGGCGTCATGGTTTCGGTGCCACTTGCGCGCTGCAGGGGCCGCTGGCCGCGGGGAGTGGTTTGGGCGCGACGTCCGGCGATGTGCCGTCGCGGAGGTTGTTTGCCGTGTCGGGCGCGGAAGCCGTGCTCGCACGTGGTGGCTGGCGCTCGGTGGCGTCTGCTCGGCCGTGCCCGTCTGGCGACGAAGTGGTCGCAGGCCTGCTGGCGTATGGCGTCGTCGATAGATCTGGCCCAGAGATTTCGGGACGATCGAAATGGGTTCGAAAAGAATGGGCACAAAGACCGACAGCAGTTCCTGTTCATTTTGAACCGGATTCGCTGTCGGCGTCGCCGCGGACTGTGTCCATGTGAGACAGGAGGCCGCCTTCCCAACAGCGGCCGTTGTTGGTTTGTGACAACATGTGCTGTTGGGCATTGTACCCATTTTTTCCGTACCCACTCCAGGCGTCCAAAAAGTCAGGGCACCGCTGTGCCTCGTCTCTGGGCCGTGCCCCCTCTTCCAACAGTGGCGTTGTGTCTGGGAGCGGCCTGTGGGACCCCCGCAGAAGCAAAAATGAGACGTCAGCACGCCGGGTCCAGGTGTCTGGAACTACGGTCAATCCGCATAATAAGGATGGGCGACCTTCCCAAGGGTACCCTTGCATCCTTGCCTCCTCGGCCCATCCTTGGCCACTTTCGCTGGTCGCGCCCCGTTCGAAAAGCTTCGAAGTGGGCGTTTAAGGCCCTTGCATCCTTATCGCGCATCCTCATGATACCGGCCGACTTTAGCCACACAGATGTATGGCGGGTTTTGTATGCAATTCGCCTAGCAGTGGCCTCGGTTGTGCTCACGGACGCGGTGCGCGATCGCTATGGACGCGATCAGGAACTAAGGCGGGTCCTTTTCGAGGTCGTGCTTCCGTTGCTGCACACGGCGCCTCGAATCATCTGCCAGCCGCGTGGATGGAAGGGTGGTCCCTTTCTTGGTCTCGGTGCGCTCCGCCGCGTTCTGTGCGCGGTGCTGTGACAGAGCGCTGTGACAGAGCGCCGGGGCTCTCACCAGCCTGGTCCTTCCACTTGTTGTGGCAGGGCAATTGTCTTCCTGGACTCGGCGTGAATTTTTTTTGCGCCGACTCCGAGCCCAGGAAACCGCTCACTGCTCCCAAGCCGGTTGCGGTTCCCTGCCCTCCCAGACCCTGGGCCCGTGTCGGGCTCACGGTGCCCTCATGTTCCCAGCGGGCGCCCACCGGGGCGGAAGGGAAAAGGTTTGTTGGCTTCTGAGGAGTGGGCTGCGGAAGGGAGGGAGGAGGACGACGAGGAGGACGAGGAGGACGAGGAGGAGGAGGACGAGGAGGAGGAGCAGCAGGAGGAGGAGGAGGCTCGTCCTCCTCGTCCTTCACGGTCCCTCCCGCCGCCAGTCCTTCCCTCTCCCGCCTCGTAACTATTTTTCTCCTCATTCTTGCCCTCCTCCTCCTCCTCCTCCTCCTCCTCCTCCTCCTCCTCCTCATGGCGCCGAGGTGGCCGTCACGCCGCCATGAGCGCCTTCGCCTCCATGGACCTTAACGGCGACGGCGTGGTTACCCAGGAGGATCTCTGAGCGTGTCGCGGCGCGATCACGTCCTCAGCCCGCCCTCATCCGATCCTCGTCGTCCTGTCCTCCTCATCCTCGTCTTTGTACTGGTCCTCATCGTCCCCTCCCGCCTCCTCAAGGAGCTCCCGCGGAGATGGCTTGCCCGCCAAGCACGGTGGCTACGAATAAGATATAGGGACGATGTTTGGTGTTTGGCTAGTTGCTTCACACTTGTGGCAGGTATTCTGCCCCAGACGGCTCTGTGGCTTCAGACTGGTGACTAGCCCCTTGGCCCGATCCATCGACTTCCTTCCTCTCCTGAGAGTGTACCCACAGCCCGAGAGAAATTGTTTGGAGATGGACTCCGCGCTCGCGCCGGGGCCGGGTCTGAGTTCTCTGCGGCATCAGCAGGTTTCCAGGTGTGCCGTGTGTGCCCTCGGCGCTTCCATGCCTGCATGCTTGTTTGTCTGCGTGCTCGCACTACTGCATGCTTATGCTTGCATGCCGTGACCAGCACGGCGCCGCGCCGAGCGCGCTGCCGAAGGCCGCTGGCGTTGCCGCCAGGGCCCGGCCTGGTCAGACAACGACAGCGGGGCCCTTCACCGCGCCAGCTGGCCGCGGCTCGAGTTCCTTTCGGTGGCCCTCCGAGTCATGGCTAGGGATCGGCGTCCCCCCAACATACTAACACTATGTGTGCGTCGCTCCCCCAAGGGGCGATGCGCGCACCGAGAAATCGTATAGTATATGCGTCGTGGCGGGCGCTTTCTTGCCACACCGCTCGGGAAACGATCTACTACAAGACGGGTATACCATATGTTCGGGTCGGACTCGCGCCTCCGAGGAGGACATACAGAACTAGTACGTCACTGCGCGTCCCGAGACATGGAGCTGGTGGTGTGCAGGGTCCATCTGCATGCCTTGCTCCCTCACAGACCGACTCCTGGACCTTTCCGGTCGTTCTGGCCATAATCTCGAGTGCAACCCAGCCGTGGCGACAAGACGTCTCTCGGAGGCCCCATGAGGGAAGGAAAGAAATCCAGAAGCCTCGATCCTCGGGCCTCCCTCCTCCTCCTTGCTCCATCTCCCCCCCAGAAAAAAAGTTCCTTCCTCCATCCCGCCTTCCAGGGTACACTTCGATCGGGTGGATCCGGTTCGATACCGAGTCCGTCTGGCCCGATCCGAGGTTCCGATGTTCAGCCGATCCGATGCGGCCCGATGCCTGGGCGCTGTTGTGAATTACTTGCGCGGCCGCTTCGATTCGATGTCGACTCCGTGCCGATGCGGCCCGAGCCGATGTCTCGATTTGGATGCGGATTGACCCCGTCCTCGTACCACTCTCCTCGTGGATGAGACGGGTGCTGACAGGGAGACGGGTCCTGAAATCCGGGGTCACGAAGCATAGTGCAACCCCTGACGCTAATAACACAATGGATTTGTTGCCTAACTCAGGTCATCCTGTTTCAGGGTTGTCCCTAAGCATGCAGGTGGCTTCGCCTGATACATCGGAAAATCCAATTTTTTCGGGCCCTCCTCACTTAGGTCCCCTCCCAAAGGATTAGCGGTACTTTAATGGCGTATCACAGTGGGGCTTCCCCAGGACCAGACTCGTACCCCGAGTTGGTTGTTGATGGTCCCCGCGCCCGTGGAGGGCCCTGCGGGGTTGAACATGGCAAAGCACCTCGGGTCCCGTGTTCCTCAGGACCCTGGTATCGCTCGGACGTGAGCATTTTTCTCGGCGGGGATTATTAATGAGCATCCTGCGAAAAAAACACGCACGAAACCGAAAAAAACACAGGTAATGGATGTCCGAGCGACGGGGAGGGACGGGTTTATTTCATGGCGACCTCCTCCCTCTGATGTGATTTATCGATTCGATGCTGACTGGTCCCGCCTCGGCGACGAGGCCTCCCCAGGAGGTCCCAAAGGGGAAGGGCGTCCAGCAGCCTCGATCGTCGAGCCTCCCGCCTCCCGCCTCCCTCGCGCCCGAGGCGGGGCCTCGCTCTGTCTGCGCTTGCCGGGCCAGTGCGAACAGGGACGGTCCTGCTGCTCACGCACTTCTGCCCTGTCGCCCCATGCCGCCTGTGGCGGCAAGCCATTGCGTCCGTGTTTCGCCCCCCCCCCCCCCCCCCCATGCGGTGAGGCGAGAGGAGGAGGAGGAGGAGGATGAGGATGAGGATGAGGATGAGGAGGAGGAGGAGGAGAGGAGAGGAGGAGGAGGAGGAGGAGGAGGAGGAGGAGGAGGAGGAGGAGGAGGGGAGGAGGGACCAGGCAGAGGAGGGCGAGGCCGGGGGGCTCGGGGGGGGCCCGAAGAGGCAGGCCCCGGCCCCTGCGCCCCGCCCCGGCCCTCGGGGGAGGAGTTCTGCGCGGCGCAGCGCAGGATGGCCGCGCAGCACCCCGGCGGGAGGCCCGCGGGGGGCCCGGAGTGGCTGGCCGCCCCGCCCGCGGTGCAGGCCATCGGAGGGCACCAACTATACACCAACACCGATCCTGGCCCAGGATCACCCTGGGCCCAGGATCGGTGTATATGCCTTCTTGCGCAAGGCAGGAGGGCGTATACACCGATCCTGGGCCCAGGGTGATCCTGGGCCAGGATCGGTGTTGGTGTATAGCTGGTGCCTTCCTAGGCCATGCGGGGCGTCTCGCGCATCGAGGTCCAGGAGAAGGCGAGCGCACGAAGCGATCGATCGATCGAGGGTCGATCGGTCGAGGAGGGAGCATCGATCGAGGATGCAGTCGGGGCGCTGGGGTGAAGGAGCCCTTCGCGTGTGGGAGGGGCTCCGTGCCCCTGAGTTGTTCTACGATTTGCCTTGGGTCTACCTTCGGTTTTCGATCGCAGATCGAAGTCAAACTTCAGGAACAGGGGGCCTCGTTCCTCATTTATCGTTCCTTAGGTCAACGCCCCGACTGTAGCGGATCGGTCGGCTATGGTCACGAGCGCTATGATCACGATTATCATTCCTATTTCTACCACAATTGCCACTACTACTGCTACCACCACTAACATCAAGCCTAGTCATACTGATCATGCGAGTGTAACGATACTACGAATAATCGCAGAGCGAATACACATACTAACAAGTACTAATTCAAGTGCGAACACAAAAGAAAGGAAGCGGAGGAGGAGGATCAGGGGGAGGACATTCGTTTCGTTAACTTTGGCATTTGGAGGCTTGCTTCGGGACTCGGGACCGCCAGAGACCGATCCATGATGAACAAACTTGACAGCATGGACTCCTGGAGGGCCGAGGATCATTTGAGCAAGTATCCAGGTCTGCGAGTCGGCAAACCACCGTCAGACAATCCTGCGGGGTTGAAGGATTTGTCTATGGGGCAGAACCCTTTGCTTCGTGAGAACTCCCACTCGTAGCCTGCACATGGGGGAGGACAGCGAGGGCATGCCTTGTCCATCAGACCCTCTACTCTCCACAATTACGCTCACTATTGCCCCATGCTGCTTCCACACAAAGGCATAGATGTGAAATTCGTGTGTGTGTGTGTGTGTGTGTGTGTGTGTGTGTGTGTGTGTGTGTATGTATGTGTGTGGATGTGTGTGTGTGTGTGTGTGTGTGTGTGCGTGTAGCGGCATCTGGGATGTGCACGCTTGAGCAGAGATTAGTTTGGCACGATCTCTTGCACCACGTATGGCATTCAGGGGGAGCGGATACGAGCCTCAGTGTACACCCAGATCCGCCAGCGGAGGGGCGACTTGGGGCGAATGGAGGTGGAGGAGGAGGAGGACGAGGTGAAGTAGGGGGATTGTCTTTTTTATCCCCTCTGGCGTGTAATGGCGGGCCAACCACCCGCCCGCCTCCCCCTCCGGGTAACAGTAACAATCGTACGTAGGAGGGGGGCCTGGACCCCCCCCCATGCCTGGTGTTCGCGCGGGTACGATGGCGATCGCAGCGCAACCTCGTCTCCACGTGCCCCGCCCCACCCAAGAGTTTCCGCTTCCCAGTGCCCCAGCCCCCCCTCCCGGCGACCGGCCTTTTCGGCGGCTGTGGAGCGGGCGACGCGCGTGCGATCCGCCCCGTGGGTGCCCGCCACGCTGGCGACGCACTCGCCAAAATGCTCCCTTTGCGTGGGCGACGCGCACGTTCGCGAGGACGGCCGGCTTTTTCGGCGGCCGACGCACGGGCGGCGCATGGGCGACGAACGCGCGACGCACCTCGTGTTGCGAATGGGGGGGGTCAGTACACCGGTCGTGTTACTGGGCCTCAACATCCCCGGGTAACGACTTGTACCCGACATGATGAACAAAAACAACATCAGGTGAGCGACTGAAGAAAACGACGTCGACTGCGCCGACATTCGCGCGTCAGCTGCCCGCGTAAGGTCGCGCGTGAGCGCCCTCGTTTCCAGTGTGGTGTGCCGCGCTGGCGGCCTGGAGGGGGGAAGTGAGACGGGGCGGGCCTTCTCACAAGGCTCGGAAGTCCCCCAAGTCCCCCAGCCTTCCGAGAGGTTTTTAGTCCTTCCCCGAAGACACAGACAACCTCTCAGAAGGCCAGAGGGCTCCTGAGAAGCTTCGCCGCCTTTGGAGTTCCTTCTCTTTCTCACTTCCCCTCGTCGCTCCCAGCCGACGTCATTTTTATATAAAAATGTGTACTAATTACATATACATATATCACGTGGGCTCCGAGAGGTCTCGACCCATTCCCCGGGACCGGTTTTTCAACCCGAGTCGTTTCCGGATGCTCCCCATGGTCTGTGAGAGCCCCGGGGGGCCGAAAATAGCGAAAACCCTCCGTCATGATCTTTTCATGACCCGATGGGCCTCGCCGCCGAATGTCATCTCGCGCACGTCCCGTTTCCGATCGTCGCTCAGGTGGAGGCGTAGGTGGAGGAGGCCGCACTCGGGCGGCCCTCGGACCATCAGAGGCCCCCCCCCCCCCCCCCGGGCCGCCCTCTGCGGCCCTCGGGGGGCCCTCGGCGGCCCCCATGGTGGGAAGGTGAACGCGATCGAGGCCGGCGCGGCGCTGCTGGGGCAGGAGGTCGAGATGCCCAACAGGTACGCTGTCATCGACGGCGCCACCCACCAGCAGGAACCGCGTTTTCTTTCATTTGTTCTTCTTCTTCTCCTGTGTCTTCTTCTTCTTCTTCTTCTTTCCCTTCCTTTCTCCTCGTTCCTCAGTCCTCCTCCTCCTCCTCCTCCTCTTCCTCCTCCTTCCTCCTTCTCCTCCTCCTCCTCCTCCTCCCCCTTCTCTACCTCCTCCTCCCCCTTCTCCTCCTCCTCCTCCTCCTCCTCCTCGTCCTTCTCCTCCTCCCACGGTTGGCAAACCAAAGCGAAGTGGATTGAATACAGTGGCGAGAGCTCGACAACCAAGCCAGAGCAGAGCCGTGCCTCCGAGTGACAGTTCGAAGGCAGATCGGACAGCAGCAAAGCAGCATTTTGAAATCTTCGCCACCGACGGTTGTGCTGACTTGGTGTCGCGAGACATCCCATGACGGGTGCATGCTCTCGAAGTGGTAATTACAAGGGGGGGTCTTTTTCATCTGCCGCCCATCCCACAACGTGGGGTGAACCCCCCCAAAAGACTTCAGAGTTGCCCAGCCTTTCTATCTGAAGGAAGGGTGGGTGGGGTCGGCGAGGGGGGGGGAGAGGGAGAGCGAGCGGCGCGAGCGGCGCGCGCGGCGCGCGCGACGTCGTGGGCCGCACCACCGAGCACGCGCTTGGGAGGGAGCCGCTCGGAGGGAGGCGGCGCGCGGCGCGCGCGCGCGTCGCCGCGGACCGTACCGCCGAGAAGGCGGCCTGGGGGAGAGCGGCGCACGGCTGTGCCCCTCAGGATCGGATGCCGCCGCTGCCCTCTTCCCCCCTTGTGTGTGTGTGTGTGTGTGAATGTGTGTGTGTGTGTGTGAATATGTGTGTGTGTGTGGTGTTAGCTCTTGACCGGAAGGGGGCCGCTCCCGACCCGCAGACCAAAAAGTGTGTGTGTGTGTGGTGGTGGAGGGTCCCTCCCCCCAGTACCGAGCATACTTTCCCTTGCCTCAGAGCAGTGGCGCGAGCGGCCATGGCCATGTGCCCTGCCTTTTGCTCGTGGCTGCCCTTGCCCAGGAAGCGTTGTGCTCCCTGCACGAACCCCCCCTTCGACTTAGGCCCTGCAGGGATAGGCCCTGCATCCATATACTTCGCAGGGGCATTAGTTAGAGTTGTCTGCCGCCGCCGCTGTAGCTGCTGCTCTGATACATCCCCTAAGCGCCTTTACCTTATTACCTCTTCCTCCTCCTCCTCCCTCCTCCATCCTCTCTCCTCCTCTCTCCTCCTCCTCCTCCTCTTCCTCCTCATCCTGCTCCTCCACCGCCTCCCCCTCCTCCCCATCATCATCATCAACATCATCATCAGCAGCATCATCAACATAACATGCGAAAGAAGGGTCTTTGCCTCGCTAGTCTCCGCGCCAAACGGGATACACCCGTTTTGTGTCGTCGTCGCCGCCATCAGCCTCGCCATCGCTATCACTACCACCAGCATCATCATCGTCGTCGCCATCATCATCATCACCAACGCCGCCATCCTAATAATACGATGGGCACCCCCTCGTTCGACAGAGTCAGCACGCTCGGGAGGCATCTGGCGTCTTCTGTCCACCTCGTGTGCGCTCGTCGGTCGTTCTTGCTCCGCAGATGTGAGCGCAGGCTGCCGTCCGTCTCCTGTCTGGAACGTTCCCAGCAGGGGTCGAGGCCTGCTCTTCCGCCGAACCAACGGCGGTGCGCCGAGGGGGCGGGTGGGAGGGGTCAGGCCTTCTCAGAAGGCGGCGGGGCCAAGCCACCTGGCCTTCCGAAAAGCCTTTTTGTGTGGCTTCGCGGGAGGCGTGTTTTTTTTTTTTTTTTTTTTTCTTCCAGAAGGCCGAGAGCCTTCTGAGTTTTCCGGGAAGGCCCGCCCCCGCTGCCTTCCCCCCCTGGGCGCGCCGCCGCCTATGGTTGCCAAGCGGGTTGATTCGATGATTGATCTCTTTCTCTTCATCGTCTGCTACCGGCACTAGCAGAGTTGTGCAAACGAGGGTGCTCGGAAAATTTGATGGAGGGCCAAGCAGATGTGCAAACGACACCTCATCACCCAGCGCTTGACAGCCACCCGACAATATATTCCGAACGGGAAAGCTTTGTGCTTGCGGTGTTAGGCTGGGCCTTACCTTGGGGGGCAGCGTTGCTGGCATGCCTGATGCCGAGCTGGAGAGCGCTAGGATGACCCCAGTGGGTTGCAAAGTCTCCTCTCACCTTTGGCCCGTCCCTCACCGCCAAGGTGGTCCTCCAGTGGGACCCAGTTTAAAGGGCTGGCGTTGCCCTGGCCACCTGGCGGGATAGCGTTGTCTGAGGAGTTGGCACCCAATGCGCCCGAGCTTGGGTAGCAGCCTCCGCCACAGCTTGGCGACGAAAGCAGTGACGCCAAGCTTGAGAGAACGATGCCGCCGACGGGTGGCGCCGTGCTCGGGGGCGTCGCCACGGGCCAGGGCATGGCCACTGCCAGTACCACCAGGCTCCCCACGCTCGAGCCGACCTTGCGCGAGGCCGTGAAGGTGGCCAGTGCCACCGAGCCCGAGGAGGTGGCCAATGCCTCCCATCCTGAGGAGGTGGCCGATGGCACCGCAGAGGCTGCCGGTGCTGCCGCCGAGGCGCCGCAGGATGGCGCCGTGGTCGGCGAGGCCGCGCCAGAGGTTGCCGCCGACGTCTCCGCGGAGCCGCCGCGGGATGGTGACACGAGCGACGAGCCAGCTCCGACGGTCGACGCCGGCCGTGGCGATGGGGATGGCGGCGTGCGGGGAGCCGCGGCAGGAGACGCGATGGGAGGTCGGGCAGAGGATCGGGAGGCAGCTCCTGGAGGAAGTGCGCGCGCAGGCGGCGACGGCCGCCGCGCCCCAGGAGAGCGAGGAGGAGGTGCGGCAGGGAATCCAGGACGGGCTGCTGCGCGAGATAGCGTTCGGAACAGGGGCCAGCGAGAAGCCTGTGCCGAGTCTTCTCTCTCTCCTTCTCTGTCTCTGTCTCTCTCTCTCTCTCTCGCCGTGTTCCTCTCGCTCTCTCCCAATCCTCCTCTTCCTCCTCCTTCTCCTCTCCAGCTCCTCCTCCTTCTCTCCAGCTTCTCCTCCTCTCCAGCTCCCTTCTCGTCTCCGTCGCTATTTGTCTGGGACGGCTTTCCCGCTAGAAGCGGCCATTCCTTTGTCTTCTTCATTCTGCGGAACGCAAACACTCCTCCTGCTCCGCTTCGGCCCTCCTCGGCAGGTGTTCTTCGCGGTGGAGCAGACGGGCTTCGTGCAACGGCAGCTCAAGCAGTGCTTCGGGGATTGCACGCCCTGGAATTTGGACATATTCTACACTGGGCGGGGGGCACCGCAGAAGGCGTGGAGGGAAGGGGCTGGGGGGAGGGGGTGCGGGGTGGAGGAGGGAGGAGGAAGGATGAGGACGAGGGGCAGGAGTAGGACGAGGATGAGGAGGGGGAGATAAAAAAGGAAGGGCGGGCAGCATGATGATGAGGATGAGGAGGATGGGCAGGAAGAGAAGGAGGAGGACGACGATGAGGAGGATGAGGATGTGGGTGAGGATGAGGATGAGGTTGAGGATGAAGAGGAGGAGGAGGAGCATGAGTTGTTTGAGGAGGAGGAGGAGGTATGATGATGCTGATGATGATGAGGAGGAGGAGATAGATAAGGAGGAGGATTCGGAACGACTGCCAGGCAATATCTAAACTGGGGCTGTCCACCCCCTGACCATGACGATGACCACGACGACCATAAGGCACCCCTCCACGACAAGCTTGCCGCTTAGTATACTGCGCACGACGCTCATGTCCTTCGAACTACCGATGCCCTTTATCAATATTAGTTGTTAGAAAAACGGCATGACGCGACCCACCGATTATTGGAAACACATGGTTGCAAATCACACACACACACGCACGCACGCACACACACACACACACGCACGCACGCACGCACGCACGCACGCACACACAACACACAACACACAACACACAGCACACACACAAGACACGCACAACACACACAACACACAACACACACAGCACACACAACACACACAACACACATAACACACACAACACACAACACACACCACACAACACACAATACACAACGCACAACACAAAACACACACTAGACACAACACACAACACACACCACACAACATACACATACACACACCACACGCACAACATACAACACACGACACACACCACACACACCACACACAACACACACAACACACACACACACACACCACACACACCACACACAACACACAACGCACACAACACACAACACACACCACACACACCACACAACACACACACACAACACACAACAGACAAATCACACACAACACACAGCACACACACACACCACACACAACACACACACACACCGCACACAACACGCACAACACACAACACACACCACACAGCACACACAACACACTCAGTACACACAACACACACAACACACACAGCACACACAGCACACACACACACAACGCACACACGCACAACACACACACGACACACACGCACGCACGCACGCACGCACGCACGCAGGCACGCATGCACGCACGCAACTACGCACGCAGGCACGCATGCACGCACGCAACTACGCACGCACGCACGCACGCACGCACGCACGCACGCATGCATGCATGCGCGCATGCATGTGCGCATGCGTGCATGCGCGCGCCCGCGTGCCCGTGCGCCCGCGCGCGCGCCCGCGCCCGCTCCCGCTCCCGCACCCGCGCCCGCGCCCGCGCCCGCGCCCGCGCCCGCGCCCGCGCATGCGCATGCGCACGCGCACGCGCACGCGCACGCGCACGCGCACGCGCACGCGCACGCGCACGCGCACGCGCACGCGCACGCGCACACGCACACGCACACGCAAACGCACACGCACACGCACACACACACATGCACACACACACACACACGCACGCACGCACGCACGCACGCACACACACACAGAACGCACACAGAAAACACACACAGAACACACACAGAACACACACAGATACAGACACACAGGCACAGAACGCACAGACACACATACACAGAACACACACAGACGCACAGACACACAGACACACACAGACACACAGACACACACAGACACCCCACACACCACACACCACACACACAAACACACACAGACACACAGAAAACACACACAGAAAACACACACACACAGAACACACACAGAACACACGCAGACACCGACACACAGACACAGAACGCACAGACACACAGACACAGAACACACACACAGACGCAGAACACACACAGACACACAGACACACAGACACACACACCACACACACACCACACACACCACACACACAGACACACAGACACACAGACACACAAAGACACACACACAGGCACACACAGACACACATACACACACAGACGCACGCAGACACGCAGAGACACACACAGACACACACACAGGCACACACAGACACACACAGACACACACAGACACACACAGACACACACAGACACACACAGACACACACAGATACACAGACACACGCACAGACGCACATAGACATACACAGACACACACACGCACAGAAAAGCACACAGCACAACACACAAAAACACACAGACAAACATACAGACACACAGGTAGACACACACAGGCACACACAGACACACACAGACACACACAGACACACACACAGACACACACACAGAGACACACACAGACACACAGACACACACACACAAAGAAACACACACAGACACACACAGACATACACAGACACACACAGACACACAGACACACACAGACACAGAAACACACACAGACACACACAGACACACAGAGACACACAGAGACACACACAGACACACACAGAGACACACACAGACACACACAGACACACAGAGACGCACAGAGACACACACAGACACACACAGGCACACACAGGCACACACAGACACACACAGACACACACAGACACACACAGACACACAGGCACACACAGACACACAGAGACACACAAAGACACAGAGACACACACACAGACACGCACAGACACACACACAGACACACACAGGCACACACAGACACACACAGACACACACAGACATAAACACAGACACACACACACACAAAGACACACACAGACACACAGACACACACAGACACACACAGACACACACAGACACACACAGACACACAGACACACAGACACATAGACACACACAGACACACACACACACACACTTGCTCAACATGAAGCAACGTTTGCGGATGTCGCCAATGATGGTTAAACCACAAACATATCGTACTAGTGGATGTTTCAGCGCCGTTTAAGCTTGAAGCCCGCAACTTGGATGTCTCTCCCCACTGAACAACCATCGGGCATAACACACAAGAAGCAATCTACAAGCATTGGTGGTCGTTTGCCTCACTTGCCCTGCGCGCCTGGGCCAGGCTCAACCAACCATATTCGCCAAGACCGTGCGCTCGTTGCCTTGGAGAAGCGCCGACGGCTGCGGGGACCCGAGCAAAATGCCTGGGCGAAACGAACCGCCAACGCTTCCTGCCTCTTGCCCCGCCGCTCACCACTACAGAAGCGCGAGGTGAGACCTTGTGGCTAGCCCGAGTCATCGCGCTGTGTCGCTGGTGCGAAGGGCGCCAGTTGGCCGCACCACCCGCCGAAAAGCCAACGCGCAAGTGGATGCCCTGGACGACAGGCTGCTGGCTGGGGCCCGGGTGGCACGGTGGCCACCTCCCCTGCAACGGTCGTGGGGCGCACCCCACCGCGGACCCCGCGGCGGCTGCGCCCTCAGGCTCGCGTCGTGCCGTCCGCGGCCCAGAGTCGGCCGATGTCGAGCGGACCGTGGATCGGAGAGTCGCCGACCGCTCCAGGCCGAGCGATCCACGCGGTGTCATGAACCAAAGCCCAGGTCCACGCGCAAGGAACCCGCCGTACCCGGCATCATACCCATACGACCATCCTTCGGGTGGCATGGAGGTTCGGGGCCGGGAGGGGGGAGCCAACGTCTCATTCGATCGATCTCGCATCGATCAAAGTCTCGATCACACAACAGATCTCACTATCGATCCCGCAATCGATCTCACTATTGATGTCACAACAGATCCCACAATCGATCTCACACTCACAATCGATCCCACTATCGACCTGTCAATCGAACTCACGATCGTTCTCACAAGCGATCCCACGATCGATCTCACAACAGATCTCACTATCGATGTCCTAATCGATCTCACCATCGATCCGGCAATCGAACTCACAATCGATCTCACATTCGGACCCACTATCCATATCACAACAGATCTCACCATGTGTTTTACTATCGATCTCATAATCGACCTCACCATCGATCTCGCTATCAGTTTTACAATCGATCACACAATCAATCTCATAATCGATCTCAGTATCGATCGCACTGTCGATCCCAGTATAGATCTCTCGAGCGATCTCACCATCGATCGCACAACAGATCCCACAATCAAATTCGCAACAGATGTGATTATCGATCTCGCAACAGATCTCACCATCGATCCCACAATCGATCTCACAATTTACTTGACAATCGAATTCACATCAGACCTTACTAACGATCTCACAGTCGATCTCACCATCGATTTGATAGTCGATCTCACTATGGATCTCATAAGGGATCTCACGATAGATCTCACAACAGATCTCACTATCGATCTCCCAAATCGATCTCACCATCGATCTGACAATCGAGCTCACTGTCGATCTCACATTCGGACTCACGATCGATCTCACAACAGTTCTCACGATCGGTCTCACTATCGATTTCACAATCGATCTCACCATTGATCGCACTATCTGCCTCACAATCGATCTCACAATCGATATCACGATCGATCTCTCAACGGATCTCACTGTCGATCCCACTATAGATCTCACGAGCGATCTCACCATCGATCTCTCAACATATCCAACTATCGATCTCACAACTGATCCCACCATCCATCTCATAACAGATCTCCAGTCGATCTCACAACAGATCTCCAGTTGATCTCCCCGCCGCGCCACCGACGGGACACCCCGCGCCACCGACGGGACACCGCCGCGCCACCGATGGGACACCGCCGCGCCACTGACGGGACACCCCCAGCCACCGCGCGCCGCGGGGGGGGGGGGGCGGACAACCGGCTCCACATCCCCGGGCCACGGCGGCATCATTCCTCTCGCGCGCCCACGCAGCTTCGCCTCGCAGTGGCGCGTCTGACATGGACGACCAACCTCAGGAGGGAACAAAAACACGCAGACACAATTATCCGTCGATTCCTTCAAAATATGGGAAAATATGGGACGTGGGGGGGAAGACAAAAC